TTATCGTAAAACAGTCCGACGCGTTTAAGCTTTTCCGGAAACGTGGAACAACCATGCATTTCGAAGCGTACTCGGCTCTTGAACACGAACTCAATAGCCTCATCAAAGCCAAGAAACACGGATTATAGCGCGAAACGTCGATGAATACGCTGTGGAACGCGGCATGAAGGATGCGTATTCGGTCTTAAAACAATGAGAGCGAGGAGTACTCGGATCGTTGGATTCTCAAGTTCGTGCGAAAAGTATGTTCTGATTCCGTGCCGGCACAGATGATTCCTCGCGAAATGACGAATTCGGTAGACGAGATCAGCCAGCCTTTTTCAATGCTGGAGCTCTTACTCGTGATCCTTTCGTGTGGCAATTCGGCTCCGGGGGCTGATAGGATCAAGTTCAACTTGTTGAAGAACCTCTCAGGCGTCGCTAAGAGGCGCATGTTGAACTTTTTTTGGTCAGTTCCTGGAGTTCAATATTGTTCCGGATGATTGGAGGTGGGTGAGAGTTATAGCCATTAAAAAGCCTGGAAAACCCGCTTCAGATCATAACTCGTATCGTCCCATCGCGATGTTATCGTGCATTCGAAAATTGTTGGAGAAAATGATCCTTTTTCGCTTGGACAAATGGGTTGAGACGAACCACCTACTCTCAGATACTCAATTTGGATTCCGTAGGGGCAAGGGAACGAACGACTGTCTCGCGTTGCTTTCCACTGAAATTCAGTTGGCTTTTGCTAATAAAGAGCAAATGGCTTCTGTCTTCTTGGATATTAAGGGGGCTTTTGATTCAGTATCGGTTGAAGTCCTTTCAGACAAACTCCACGCTTGTGGCCTTTCTCCATTAATTAATAACTTTTTGTACAATTTGCTGTCAGAGAAACATATGAGCTTTTCTCATGGAAACTCTACAGCTTCACGATTTAGCTACATGGGCCTCCCCCAGGGCTCATGTTTAAGCCCCCTTCTGTATAATTTCTACGTCAGAGAAATTGACAATTGTCTAAGTGACAACTGCACGTTGAGACAACTTGCAGATGACGGAGTAGTGTCTATGACAGGGCCCAAAGATGTCAACCTGCAAGGACCCTTACAGGATACCTTAGACAATTTGTCTACTTGGGCTATTCAGCTAGGTATCGAATTCTCCACGGAGAAAACTGAGTTGGTCGTTTTTTCTAGGAAGCATAGCCCAGCACAACCGAAGCTTCAACTTTTGGGTAAGCCGATCACTCATTCCATGTCTTTCAAATATCTTGGGGTCTGGTTCGATTCCAAATGCACCTGGAGATCCCACATTGAGTATCTGAGACGAAAATGCCAACAAAGGATCAATTTTCTCCGAACAATTACCGGAACGTGGTGGGGAGCTCATCCGCAAGATCTTCTAACGTTGTACCGGACAACGATTTTATCGGTTTTAGAGTACGGTAGTTTTTGCTTCCACTCGGCAAAATTCACATCATCAAACTCAATACATCAATTTTTGTGTATAACCGTTGCATTGTTTTAATACTTCTGATGAGTTTTCTAAAGATCGGTACTCAATTAGCTAAGAAACTAAGAATCATTTTAGGCAGAGCTTTGAATACCAGTGGTCCCTTAAGGTGTCAATGTTATTTACGCACTGAAGTTGAGGCGAATTTTTTCGTTGGACTACGTCTGTGATTTCTATATAGAAATGGAACATGTAACGAAATTATGAAAGATTTTGAACATTAATAACTCAGCTGCACCTGGACCAATTTCAATAATTTTATCACCAATCGATCAGAAATATTTCTAAGCATTGCACTAATGAGAAAGTGATAAATGTCAAGTATTGTTCAAAAGCTATGAAATAACTAACAAATTCTCCAATTACTTGCATGCATATGCTGCTTCGCCAACACAGTCATCAGAGAATCACTTCTAGACGAAACATGTCGATGTAGCATTACTGCTTCCCCAACACAGTCATCAGAGAGTCGTTAGTAGACGAAACAAGTCGAAGTGGCATTCGCCTCCGATCTTTGGGCGTGTGCACGCAGAAAAATGGATTTTTGTTTCAGGGCCTAATGTATTTTGTTATTGATTCAAACATATTGTATCACTATTTCAACTAAACATATTTTTGAATCAACAAAATGGTTTTTAGAATCAACAAACAGATTATTGACTCTACAAATGGTTTGTTGATTCAAAAATATTTTTCTTTGAATTAACCGAATAATATATTTGAATCAATACCAAAAATATATTAGGCCCTGAGTCAAAAATATATCCATTTGAATTTTAAAATTATTTCTCTGTGTGTGCAAATAGGCAGGATGCAATTGCACTAATCGCCATATTCAGAGCCACACGCCCCCAACGACCACACAAAATGCTCTCCAGAGTTGTGATCTTGTAAACAAATTTGGAAGCAGGGTGCAAGTGATTTTGATTGATTCTCTTCATCGACTTTCTGTTTCGTTAATAACTCGACGGCAAACACATTCATTGATTCGCATGTTGTTCTGGATAATAGAAGAGCATAGCAGAAATAGTGCGAAATAGGTTAGTGAAACCATGGTCATCAAAGGAGGAAATCGATGAAGAGAATTGACTTTCACCCCTCTGCTTCTAAGCCCCTTAATTCAGTCGTCGTCATTGCAATGAAAACTAGCATCGCACCGCTTTTGGTTCTTGGGTTACACTTGCAATTCTGCTGTTCGACATTTTCGAAGGACCACCAGAAAATATGAAATAACACTATTTTCTAGGGATGCCTGAAAGTACAATTATTCGATTACCGATTAATCGTACTGAAGTTTCCAGCTATTCGATTAAATATTTATCGAATTTTCAACGAACGCGTAACTGACATTCCTTCTTATTTCTACTCATTTAATTCAGTGCAGTGTCAGTACTAATTTATCTGCATAGGTATAGCGAAGAACCATGACGTGAAGCAGGATCATAAATTCGCCGAAAAACGTGTTTAAAGGAATTTTTGCTAAAGACCAACTTGTTGCGAGAAGAAGTCTAACGAGAAAAACTTAAAAGGGGAGGAGCTTTAGCTGGGTGGACACTGGTATTCTATCGGCTGTTTCTATACAACGCATAATTTAGTGTTGAAAGGCACAGCAGATGAAGTGTAGGATAAAATACCCAAAATGAATGGGGTATGATTTTCTAGCATTCAAAAAACGATTTTTTTTCATGTCCGATTGACAAGCGACAAAACCGTAAAAAGAGGAGGAACTTCAGCTGATATGCCTTTAATTGTTGCTTTTGTCCATACAGTGTTTCGTTCGATGTCCAGTGCCACAAAAATTTTCCAAAAGAGTGAAATTTATGAACATGTCCTAACTAAAATTCATATCAAAAAGTTCTTTCCAGGGTAATCATAGTCATACTAAAGAGTATAAACAGAGAGAACCCCGCTCAAATGCCTATTCCTACACAAAACACAAGCGCCTGCTGCAGTTAACAAATAATATTTATTATATAAGACCACATAGTCCTACGTCACAATTCCAATACGCAAGCCTGACAAAGATCCTACCATTGCCAAAAGCCATCGCCCCATCAGCTTCTTGTCCTCCATCTCGAAGCTATTCGAAAAGTTGATACTCAGCCGTCTGCTGGTGTTTAAAAATGATAATAACATCTTTCTCAAAGAGCAATTCGGGTTTAGGAAAGGTCACTTTACCATCCACCAACTCGCACGCGTTACTAACATCATCAAGCGGAACAAGTCCGTTTCCAATACATCTGCCATGGCATTGCTGGACGTCGAAAAGGCGTTCGACAATGTCTGGCATGATGGCCTAGTTTGCAAGCTGCTTCGATACAACTTTCCGATCTACCTCGTAAAGATCATCAAAAACTACTTGTCGGGCAGATCATTCCAGGTCTACTTGAACAATGTCCCCTCTGATACGTTCAGCGTTGATGCTTGGGCCTATCCTATTCATGATTTTCACGTCATACGTTCCTCCCCTGCCGGGTTGTGGTATCCTGTCAATGTTCGCAGATGACACCTCCATCATCTATAAGGGTCGAGTGATCCGTGCACTGGTGAGTAAACTACAATAAGGCCTGGATGTTCTGTCCGACTGGAGCTGGAAGATTTGCATCAATGCAGCTAAAACACAAACCATTCTGTTTCCACACTCGAATTCACCTCGGCTTGTTCCGCCTGCTAACGTCAAGATCCATCTTGACAGCACTCCCATTGAATGGTCGAGTGAAGTAGTCTACCTTGGTCTCACCCTCGATGGGAAATTGCTATTCTGATCCCATGTGGATAAGACATCCACCAAGCATAACATCTTGATCAGGTCGCTCTACCCTCTGATAAACAGGGAGTCCACCCTGTACCTCAAAACAAGCGTGATCATTCTGCCGGCTATTGAGTATGGTATGCCAATCTGGGAGAGTGCCATCACCTAAAGCTCCAGAATGATCTTTAACAGTCCACCGCGAACTCGTAATTCTGAGATTCACCACCTGGCCGGTCTTCAAACACTCGCGGAGCGAAAGACGTCCACGCCTGTCTGCGATCAAATCACCAGATCATTCGTGATTTGGCAACCTAGTTCAAGTAGTTAGGTAGGTTCCTGTGCTCAAGTAGGTAGGTTATCAAATTTTTAAATTCAAATGAAATAAAGTCCTTAAAAGGGTATCCTGTAAATTAGCACTAAACGCAATCATCACAATAGAATAACTAATTAACTAGAACAAAGATGAAGAGCCAAAGGCTAACCAATTGAAATGTCACCATTGCGTACAACCCCATAGGGCTGTCCCTTGTAGTTTTATTAATAAGCGAACTGTGTGAACTGATACTGACAGCATTCAGCATTTTGTAGGTATTGCTATATTGCTGCCCGCTTAATTTTGATATTGACAATGTATATTCTTGTCTGCTAACTATACCAATGATACATTATATGCCTATCGTCATTACGCCCCAGGTCCATATACCCAACGTGACACACCGATTTCTGACGATTCCATTTTCATGTTTCTATTTTTTTTCAGGCTATTCAACTTAATCCATTGTGGGAATCAAACCATCCTTCACACCTCATGACAAGATGAAGCATTATCTGTACATTACCTTAATCTCCATTCTGCTCAGCAAACACTATGGAATGACACATGTTATAAGGGTACGTCGCAAAAAAAAAACTCGCTTGGACTTTGCAACTAAAACTCTATTGTTCTTCCAGAAACGGCAACTTTTCCGCGAACAGGTCCTCCCACATGCCGGTGGCAAAATACCCGATTTCGCCTTCCACACCGATCGCTTGGCGTTGAATCGACTCCAGAAGGATGGAATTGCTGTCCCGGACGGAGTGCTGCTGGAGCAAAGACGCTATCAGGTGTATCCCCATCCGCACCGATCGTTCCGGCCAACCATCCTGGTGGCACAAACTTCAGACGGACGATACACGTCACCCGAAGGCTGGTACGGTCACAACGGGGTAGAAACGGTGGACAGTACCTACATAGTTCCGATGCCATGGGAAAAAGACTCCTACCACAAGCACTCGCCGTCGTTGGTCGGCTACGCAGCGCACAGCAAGCCTGCGGTGCCAGTATTCAAGGAACTCCGAGTTCCAAACTATTCGGTGTTCAATTTCGATTATAGCAATTTTAAGAAAAAGCTGGTGGAGAAACCACTATCGCTTCATCCGGCGGGGGTGATTTCCTCCGCGTACAGCCCTGTAGCCATTAGCCATCATGCACCGAAGCCATCGTTGTCTTTGGTGCCACAGAACTACGTCGGTTACCACGCAGGTAAGTCGTCGCTGGTTGCCTACCGGTAGGCGCTGTTCAAACTAGTTCTCATTTAATTCATTATGCTTTATAGCGCTGGGTAACCTGTTGAGTTACCAACCTGCTTACGCGTACGGTAACGACTGGAACAAGGGCTGGGCGCCCACCAGTGCCTATCACATAAATCATGATTTGTCGTCATCCCACGTGAGTTGGACCTAACAATCTCGCCATCGCCATGCCGATCCGTGCCCTAAATATAATATTCAATTTGTGTTTACGCTAAGCTCCTCAACAGCATTTACAAAATTTAACGATATCTGGCTTATTCAAAACAGTGCCATTTCTGCCATCCTGAAATCATCATTTTGTTAATCTCTCTTACATCTTTCTCGCTCTCTTCCCGCCTTCTAACAGCCACTTAACAGTTTCGAGGACTTTTACGCCGATCCCAGCGGCAAACAACGCTATTACCGTCATGCAGGCCAGTCTTCTTCGTCCGCGGTGGAAAAGATTCGTTCGACGCGAACGATTTCCCCCCAACTGCCACTTGCCGTCACCAAAGGACGAAGACCATCCTCCTCCTCATCATCATCATCGGCATCATCATCGCCGCCGCCACCGTTGTCGTCCTTACCATCTTCGCGGACAACCACTTGAGGCAGCTCGTTAGCGATGTTACCTTTTTCCCTCTTCCGCCACGTGCACCATACTCTAGCAGCGACAGTTTCCTACCTCTTCGTCTTCTTCATTCGGTGGTTCGGCGAGTTTGATTTAATCCATGAATGTTGTATATACTTGGTTATTCTCAAACCGCTGCTGCTGCAAATGAAAAATGCTTAATCCTTCAAAACTTGGTGGAGCTCTATAATCCCGCTTGGATTTAAATTTGATCCTCTTTTATCGCAAAATGGGTATCTCTTCAAGATGGTGTAATCTGAGCGGGGGTGCTGACAGGTGGGGGAAATGGATGGGACCAAGTTTTTCGACTCACCTTTCGCTGTGGTACGTACGCATTAAAATTTTCTCGGGCGATCATTTTCGGAAGCTTTTGCAAATTGATTTTCTTGCCATCCAAACATACTGGACGGCTATTTTGGTTTTTATATGGAATAAACTGTTCTTATGCAAATATACATAGTAATCTAATTTTCATGCACTTATTATCAACAGTAATAATATGAACAATAATTGGTACTGAACATTTGGTGATAAATCTAGCTCTACTGATAGAAAATCAAAGGCATATGGCATTATGATATTGGTATTTTCGTTAATATCTATCAAATTAAGTAACCAATATGCACATTATTAAATATGATAAAATCAAAATTTGTCATCACTTCAATATTTCAATATCAAATCTCACCAAAGAACAAGATCACGATTGATTTTCGAAGACAAAAATTAACATGCAAACAATTGCGATTGATATTACAAGCTGTGAAAGCACAGCTCGGAATATCAAGCCAACAAAACTCACCTGCTGCAAATCTCACCGAACTGTGGTGAGATTGAGTTTCATGATTTTTGCAGATATTTGCTCCAATATCACGCTTGATATTGAGAGCGTATGAGAGCGAAAAAATATCAATTTACTAATGATTATGCCATCCCTGGTTGGAAGGATATTCGACGAGCTAACAATGTCTGCCATCTGTTCTAATTTGATGCCTAAGGAAGTCCAATAAAGATAATTCCAGCCTGAAAATATTCTTGGCAGGATCGGAAAATCAGACCGTTTGCCGCACCTTTATTAGCTAGGCTACGGAGAGACTGCTCAAATGAACATTGGATAAGGTCCAAACAAGGATCGAAAAGAAATGAGAGTCACACAAGGTAGAAACTGTGCAGGTGATATATAGCAATGAGAAGTGTTGTTTAACTTTGCTGTTGCTTTAGGTAGCAGGACGGCAAGAGAGCACGATGTGGACTAATTGTACATTGTACATTAAGAGTGTCGGAATACGTCGTTTGTTAGGGAAAACGTTTCAAATGTACTATTTTAAACTAGTTAATTAAATACTAAATATATAATCTTATAACAATATCATAAAAATTGATTGTTGACAAACGATAATTGAACTGTATACTGATCGACTTCACCCCGTTTTACGATACTGAACTACTGCAATACTGTGAGCTTCTACGAAATTATCTTACCTTCTTAGTAGTTTGCTGAGCTTCTTTCATGTTCAGACAAAATTCTAGGAATTTACTATAAATATATAAAAAGAAAGTAAGCAGTTATATGTAATTTTAAGTTCCTTGAATTGCTAAGTAATTCGCTTGATTTCTACAAAAATCTCAGAATTTCTTTTAAATTTGCTGCACTTCTACAAAGTTCCCTGATCTTTTTACAATCATGTCGATTTGCTGTGTCCTGAAGTTTTACAAAATTTCCTTAATTTTTTTTCCGGACTTTCCCAATATATTTCTAGTTCATTAAACCTTAACGAAGTGCCCTGAAGCAAAAGAAGATCTTTTGTGAAGTTGCTTAAACTTGAACATATGTCTCCAAACCAGTGCGTAAAACAGTCAATGTTCAATGAGTCATTTTCATTTGAATATGAACAGCCTGAATGATTGGGGCCTCCCTTAGCTCAGTCGGTAAAGGCGCAGCTACAAAGCAAGACCATGCTGGAGGTGACTGGGTTCGATTCCCGGTCTGGTCTAGGAATTTGTCGGGTTGGAAAATTTCTCGACTCCCTGGGCATAGAAGTATGATTGGACTTGCCACACAATTATACTAATGCAAAAATGGTACAGGCATCGAAAGCTCTCAATTAATAACTGTGGAAGTGCATATAGAACACTAAGTTGTGATCACACGATAAGCTAATATGCCATAAGCAATAAGCTTGAAATGCGAAGAAGAAGAAGCCTGAATGATTGGGAAGTAAACGAGTCACTGACAGCAGGGTACACTGTCAGTAGCTCAGTTAGCACGTTTATTCTTCCGTGATGGTACCCAATCCTTGCTTTAAATCAATGACGATTATATAAAATCTGGGCCAACAGGCAGCTTGCTGGTGTTAGAAGCAAACATATTGTTAACATCGCTGAGCACTCAAGTGACGACGTCACTCTAGCAATCATTACATACACACTAAGATGCACATACCTTAAAGTCGATAAAGAATACCTAAATATCGGTAGAAATTACCGATAATCGAAGAAAGTGCACATACCTGAATTTTCGGTAATTATGGATTGCCAATAATTAACGTTGAAAATTACCTAATTTATACTAAAAAGAAGCCTATTTAAAATAACTTTTTATCGATAATTTTAGGTAATCGAAGCTAAGAGTGTACTGCAAACAGATAGTATTTCGTCACTGCCAACAGCTGTTTCGTGTAAAAAGATAAACATTACAATGAAATACGAGCACCACTAAACATTTGCACATTTCGCTAACACCAATTTGCCCTTTGGCCTAGACCTTGTACAAAGGACATAGGCGTTAAATGACTGAGCATACATTTTCAATAGGTCTCTTGAATGCACCACCAACGTAGAGTGCACCACGCGAGTTCGACCGTAAACATCAAATAAACCGTTTGTTTACATCAGAATATGGATTTTTCACATCGCACATTAAAGCACTTATCATTGAACATCTGCCAATTTCCATCAGTAATTATCCTATTTTACGATTTTCGTCAAATCTGAACTGATTTGTACCTCAACTATTCACACACAAGAATTCCGGAAGATCATAACCACTAAGGCTCTATAACGCGATCCAAGAGACGCTTCTCAGTGGAACTGACAGCTTGAAATCTAGAGTGTTTTAGTGATCTAGTGTTAATGGTGCTGAATGTAAACATAAACAAAGCAGAAATTCATATGAGAATAAACTGCCAGTTTTACTGTGATCTGTCAAAAGTTCTGGCAAACAAAAAAGTTAGCTGATCGCAACTGTCTCGTGGACAGCCTTATTCTAATTTTCCATTTTTCTCAACAAAAATTCTCCTGAACACGAGCAGGATCCTTTCAAAAACGGTACAGAATTATTTTGTTCAACTGTAGATCAAGTTTTTGAGCATCTCAGATTAATAAATTTATCAGGAAAAGTGAAAAAGTGTTCCGATTACTATGTCCCATGGCAAAAATTTCTGCCACAACCGAGGCCACAACACTCTATTAGGCTCTTCATCTTTGTTTCATTTGTTATTCTAATTTACGTATTCACGTTTTTCTGCTAGTCTTCAGAATACCCCTTGGGGGCGTGTTATGTTTGAATTGAAAAAAAGTGAAAACCTACCTTACTACGAGTATAACTTAACCTAACGTGCCAGTTCACGTATGATCTGATAAGTTGATCTCTGAACCTTTCCAGGATAAAAACTCTCAGTTCTTCTAATGTCTGAATTCCAGCCAGGAGGTGGATCTCAGAATTTCTAGTTCACGGGGACTGTTTAGAATCATTTAGGATCTTGTTCTGGATCCTTTGGAGTTTGAGGTGATGGCATTTGGCGCAACTGACCCAGATTGGCATACCGTACTCGATTACGGGAAGTATGATTTGTTTGTAGACAGCAAGCTTATTTTTCAGGGACAGGGTAGACCTCCTGTTGTTGTTAAGCCGAGGAGACTACCCCTTTCGACCATTCCACCACTGTGCCGTTCAGGCAGATCTTATTATTCTCCAACGGAACAAGTCTGGGAGATTTAGAGTGTGGAAAGATAATGACCTGGGTCTTTGCCGCGTTGATACGGATCTTCCAGCTGTTGAAATATTCAGACAGGACGTACAGGCCTCTCTGAAGTTTGGCAGTTAGAGCTCCGATGACCCTACCCTTGTAGACGATGGATGTGTGATATGCAAACAGAGACAAAGATTCACCATCAGGGAGAGCCGGCATATTGGAGGTGAACAGGTTGAATAGAATGGGGCCAAAGATGCTTCCTTGTGGAACCCCAACAACGTCCAACAACGCCATGGCAGATGTTTTCGACACAAACTTGTTCCGTCTGAGAATGTTTGTTACTCGAGTCAGCTGATGGAGGGTCGAACGACCTTTCCGAAAACTAAACTTTTCCTCGAGTAACAACTTGTTTTCTTGGGCACATGTTAGCAGCCGGTGATAGACTGCTCTTTCGAACAGTTTTGATAACCCTGATAGAAGGCTGATTGGTCGATAACTTGAAGAAGAGGACGGATCCTTCCCTGGTTTCCGGATGGGTATGACTTTAGCTGACTTCCAACACGAGCCAAATCGGAGGCACAGATTAAAAATCAGTGCCAGATGGTTGTGTATGTACAACTAAAGTGTTTGAGTTCCAGATTCAGGATGTTGTCGAAACCTGGGGCCTTCATGTTTTTAGATGATTTGATATAGGCCTGTAAGCTGTAATCTCGGATTACTCGGGAAACATATTAGGAATATGATGGAGGTTGGTTGCGTTTTCAGCAACCTCAGCTTCGTGAGACCTGACGATGTTTTGTCCAAGATTATGGGAGCTGACGAAGTGTTGACTTATCGCGGTAGCCTTCTCTTCAGGAATTATCAGATGAACCCCTGGGTCGCCGGGACTATCCAGTGGAGTCAGTGATGGAATGGGTCTTGGCTAATTTTTAAGGATTTTGTTTAGCTTCCAAAAGGGTTTTGCACAATCTGCGAGAGAGCGCATCCTG